AGTGAATAAATGCTAGCGTTTTATCCCCCACTTCATCATAATTCAAAGCAGCGTTATAACGCTGTTCGATGTCGTCCATATCCTATTCACCACGTTTAATCTCCTGAATAAACTGCAATAAGTATAAAAATGGAGTGTTATAATCGAGATATGGAGTATATAAAATATTATAAATGTTCAGTGGCGATTATAGGTAAAGTTTGAAGACGACATATAGCTGCTGCAATTGCAGCGATGTATTTGTTAAAAAAGAAAAAATATATAAGACAAAAAAGTTAATCAATTTAATATAAGTAAATAAGATACAAAGAGTAGCCTATAGATTATAACCTACATAAATATGCTGACCATATATGATATATACTAACTTCGTTTGTATTATCGGGCGCTGCCAATTTATCAGTCCCTTCAGCCATAATTTCTTGTTTTTATTATAATTTGTTGTTTTCCCAATGAAAAATTTTTCATACATAATTATATACAATTATATATAGTTATACAGAATTATATATTATTATATATCAAATTTGTGCATTCATGTTCATACATTCTACTTATATATATAATCATGTATAATTATATATATAAATTTATATATAATTTTACATAATTACGCATAGATTGATATATAATTTGTGACGTGACGATTATTAATTATCGTCCGTCACGAGTAGATCATAACATGGAAGCATTGTGGGGAGCGGTGCACTTGGACACGGTGCATTTGGATCACAGCACCGTGTGATTAGAGACATTTGTAGGGTCCCTTGGAACAGCGACTTGTGATTGGACTGTGTCCAATTGTCCCGTGTCCAACTGATATACACCCAGCATTGTGAGCTTCCCGGCTGCAGGCGGATGTTGCGTCCTAGCCGTGAGGCGATTAGGGCGCAAGCCTACGGAGCCCTCGAATTATTTTTGTGTATAAATACGGTCATCGAGGGGGGAAGGTTGAGTCCGGAAGAAGAAGGCCACCATCAAGGAAAACTGCTGCCGCCGTGGGAGAGGAAGAGCCTACGAGATAAACGGCAGTAGGACCTGCTGCTCCAGGTGAACCGTTTCCGTCAATAATACGACTCTGTAGGGACCTACAGGGTGGGAAACTAATACAGGTCTGTTTCAGCAACATCTCGAACGTCGAAGCGAGGCTGCCGAAGCGAAGCGGTCACAAGTTGTCGCCAGGAAGCCGCGAGGACGGAGTGGATCGACATCGCGGACGAGCGGGAGATAGCTGCCGCCGGAGAAAAGCCGGCGAGCACATCCTCCGCGACCCGGAGCGTCCTCCGATCCGAGCGAGGATGCCGCAAGGCACGTGGACCGACGTAAATAACGGTTACCGCGAAGGAGCTTAAGCCAAGGTCGTACGGACGAGGAAGCTCCTAAGATTGACGTACGGAAAACAGCCGCACAGAGTCAGAAATCGGGAAATGGGGGATATATCCCGTCAATGAGAGCCCAAGAGCTGTCGGAAGTTAGTTTGAACACCTGAAATAAAACGGGGCGACAACAACCGTTCGGGAGCTTTTGTCGCCGATATCGCTGATAGCACGGAATACAGTGTGAAGGACGTGCCATCCGCAGAGCCGAGACAAGGAAGACAAAGAAACGACGACTCGATCTTCGACGCGTAAGACCGCTGCCGCCTTAAGGGTCATTTTTGTGTGAGCCCGGAGGGACCGCCGCTCCCAGCCATCAACTGCCCCCGCTCCGCTGGAGTTTTGGTGAGTCCGAAAGGGACGAGGACGTTATTTTGGTGCTTTTGCGTCGCGGAGCGGGCGAGGCGTCGACGGGCGGGGACCCGGCCGTCCTCCCGGGCGAGGGCGAGGGCTCGCGTCCCTCCCGCGCGTTGGAAGAAGCTCTAAGATCACCTGGGAGTTGGTAAAACCGCCGAACATCCGCTGTGTGCGCTGCCGAGCGGGCACACCTCCGAACGCTTACGTAGCCGTCGTGACCTTCGCCGGTCACGACGCGGACTCGCGCTGCCGAATACCTCTGTCGCGATCGCGAACAAATATTCAGTTTGTTATCGAATTCTGCTGTCGAATAATAACATTGTAAACGGGACGAACAATAAACGTTGTCGAAAGAGATTGCGGGTCACTTAATTGTCCTCAACGCCACTCTATCCCGTCACCTCCGACCTTGCGCGAACCAGCCCCTCTGCCGCGAGTAAGGCTGAGCTGCCGGTCGTTCGTGTCAGCCGTTCGGGCGGATGACGAGTCCTACTCGTCGGCGAGACCAACCCTTTAGTGCTTTGTGACCGATCGTTTTTGTGGGTACGGATCGCCGTACCTGGCGCCCATTTAGTGTTAGAGTTTCATAGTGAGCTGTCGGGTCTCGCGAAATCCGCCGAACAGTCGAGCGCTGACCAAAAAGAGTATATTTTGTCGCTACACCCGATTCGGGTGCCGACTGCACGAGTCGCGAGCGCAGCGTTACAAATTATACATATTGTTATACATAATTGTGTATGATATATAATGTAATATGATTATACGTAATTATGTGTAGACAAATTTCATACATAATTATGCATGAAAAATTTTTCATCGGGTTTATATGGCCTATTTTATTCACTTAATTAATTACAATCACTTGATCCAGTTAAATCGCTAGAAGAAGAACTATGTCGAACTTTAAGCGTTTATCTGCTTCATTCATCTTTTTAGCGATAATTAATGGAATGGTGGTAAACGCCAGCTTTTATTCGCTAAAAGTTAGACTGTGTCGAACTTTGAGCATTTATTCGCTACATTCGCCATTTCGGTGAAAATTGATGGAGTGGGGTAAAACGCCAGCTTTTATTCGCTGCGCACCTTGAGCAGCACTTCACATCACACGAAAATACCAAAAATTGGGTCGATTCGTGGATAGCCTCAAAAGATGAAGCGGTCTTCCGACGCGGTATCCGTATACTGCCAGAAAGATGGGAAAAAGCAGTGGCTAGCGATGGACAATACTTTGAATAAAACATAAGGTACCGTTCTTTCACAATAAATGTCCAATTTTTGATAAAAAACGGTGGAGACTTATTTGTACTCCAAATATTTTCAATCATTTTCTGTAATTTATATATACTTTATATCACACACTTTATATGACAGGTTAGAAAATTATTTTTGATACATTATTATTATTCGACACATTCACATTCATTACAGTGTTTATATATATTATTTTATTATAAGATATTTACTTACTTCTGCTGTTTATTATTTCTTTATATAACTATTATTAGTACTTTAGTACTAATAAACATTAGTCTTGATTAATAATGTTTATACTGTCACGGTTTATGAGTTCTCCATATCTTAGAGAAGTCTTATTTTGGCTGCGTTCCGAAGTTCATTGCCAATATTAAAAATCTATAGTTCATGTTACGTATACTATAGAATTTCAGTATTGGCAGTGAATTTCGGAACGCAGCCTTCATATCATCTAATTTTATCTTATCGTATCTACGACGCCATGTTTTGTCGAACTAGAAACATAGGCCAGACTATTATGGCTGCAGCACATAGGAGTAATGCTTGCCGCGCGGCGGAAGTCTGCGCGACAGCCAATCAATATGTTGTTTTTCCATAAAAACTAGAAAGTTATTACGGAAAGCAGCATATTGATTGGCTGTCACGCGAACTTCCGCCGCGCGGCAAGCATTACCGCGTCCTGTGTACAGGAGCCATTACTATAGGGACTCTAGCCATAGCTCCTTACGCCATCTTAGGGTGCGTTCAGATTCCCTACCCGGGTGCACTCTGTTACTAGAAACACTATAGTATATGTCACATATACTATAGCACTTCTTGTATTAGAGTGCACCCGGGTAAGGAATTTGAACGCAGCCTTACGTGATAACCTTAAGGCTCGTCTACAATAGAAGTTGTAGAGTCGTAAGTCGTAGAAATTGACCAATCACGGTCGATTATTCTTCTCGAGCCCAATTATAGTCAATTTCTACGACTTACGACTCTACGACTTTTATTGTAGACGAGCCTTTAGGGCCGTGGCACACAGAAAAACTTAAGCCTGTTCTACAATACGTCGTATGTCGGAGTCGGATGGCGCAAGTCGTTTGTCGTATATCGTTGAACGGATTGTGAATGCGACAACTATTCTACAATTGTGTCGCACAGTCGGCAGTATTATGCACGAATTTAAAATCAGCAAAGCATTGTAAAACTAAGAAATGGATAATTTAACAACGATCAGAAGCTTAAATATATTATTAATGGTAATAAAATTGTTAAAAATAAAAATACTTTTACGAAGACGACGAAAAACAATAAGAAGATGGTGGGTAAAACCCCACATATCCACAAATATAAGAAATGAGTTAGGTGCTCATCAAAAAGTTTTTAGATATTTTGAAACAAGTGATCATGAAGAATTTTTTAAATTTACTAGAATGTCTGTACAATTTGATTATTTGCATAATCTATTAAAACCAAAATTATAAAAAAAAAGTAAAAGGGAACCGTTGCCAACTGAAATTAGAATTGCTGCAACATTGAGGTTAGTTCATAAATTATATTTTACAATTGTAATTATTACCCAGCAAACACAATGTTACATGTAACATACATATTAGTTGTAATTTCCAATGTTGGCACCAACTCGCCCTAAAGGATGAATAAACCCTGTTTCTTCTATTTCATTTCGCCAATTCCCTGGTATTATCTCACCATTAGTTACCTCTCGATCAATCATTCCTTCATTAAAATAAGAATTAATTTGTAAATTGGTACTTATAATATAATTATGCAAACAAGTTATAGCTTGCACTATTTTCTCCACAGTATTTAATTTCAGAGCTAAAAGTTTTTGTAGTATTCGCCATCGTGCCACAAGAATGCCAAAAGCAAACTATACCCAGCAAATACAACGTTACATGTAGCATATATGTTAGCTGTAATTTCCTACTCAACAATATAACTGTTATATAATATACGTGTTATGGTGAGACTAACTAATGGTGAGATAATACCAGGGAATTGGCGAAATGAAATAGAAGAAACAGGGTTTATTCATCCTTTAGGGCGAGTTGGTGCCAACATTGGTACGGCTGCTGCTATGAGACAACGGGAAACTCTTGCTCGATATTTTGTCTCAGAACAAGGAAGTATTCCATATCAATGGGAATGCATATAAATATCTTATAAAAATAATAAAAAATTACATATAAAGTTTTTGTAATTACGTTATTAATAAATAATATTAATTGTACATAAAACTTTGTAATCTTTATAATCACAATCATCCTGTTTCTAATGTCTTATCTCAATCTTATTATTACAAATAATTTTTATCAATGTTATCAATGCATATCAGTCTTATCAATATTATTAATACATATCAGTCTTAATAATACATATAAAAATTAATAAAATAATAACAATATTGTTTATAAAACACAAATTTTTTGAACAGCATACATATCACAAGAAATACTACTTGTATTATTTAATTTGTACTCTGTTGTAACTTTAATGGAAACTTAAAATACATTTTATTATTTAATTGAAACTAAAAATATAAAACAAAAGAAACTTAGATAACTTTAAACATAAAATATAAAAGAAACTTTATAGAGATAATATTTTTATAACTGTATATAAGTCTTTCTGTATCTTTTGTGAAACATAAAATATAAAGAACAGCATATAAAACTCAAATTTATTTTAAATATTTTGAATTATTTAATTTTAATTACTTTTTAATGTAAAACTATAAAACTAATTATTGCCTTTCCTCGTATTTTTTAATAATTTGAAGAACTTCTATGACATTGTGTCTTATTTTTAGAAGAAACATACTTTAATCCTTCTTCTACAGCAAACATGTAACCATCTTTGAAATGTTTATCATAATGTATTTGAGATGATACTTCTTTGATAGCAACTGATATTTCTCTACTTGTTTCTGCTAATTCGCGATCAATTTTATCCTCTTTGCTCCTCCGACGTTTTGCAAATTCGTCCATTTCCGGCACTATTTTTTTAAAAGACTTTAATGTTAATGGACGTTCTAAGTTTACCGAATTGGATTTCGTACTTGTCTCCAATTGGATGCTGCTAGTACTACTACAGCTAGAAAGTGTACTGGCAGGCCTATTTAAGATCTCATTATTAGTTGTCATAATTATTTCCTCATTTTCAATATTTAATGACGGTGTATCCTCTGAAAATAATTTATGATATCAATATCAATATTAAAAATAATACTTTTAATAATAATACTTTTCTTTAATATATTTTAACCTTCAATTAATTCAACAGGCCCATTGTAATTGTGATCATATAACGGTGAAGAAATATTGAAAGATTGCTTGGATTTTTTTACCGGTGAACAAGTATTTGTTGTACTTGTTTGTAATGAACTTAGTGATTGATTCTGTTGAACAAATGATGTTTTTGTTCTGTAAATAAAATTATTAAAATAACTATAATTGAAATAAAATTATACAATAAATATTAACAAGTAAATAAAAAAATAAGTATTAATAAATATGAAATAATCAATAATAAAAAAATATTCTAAAAACTAAAGACTTGCTTTCTGTGAGCTATATAAGGAGTTAAAAATAACATATTTCTGTATAACTCCTATTCCTTCACAGGTTCATATCCAGAACCAGAAGGTGGTAATGCTTGTCGTCTTTTCTCTCTACTAAACATATCTCTTAAAGATGACCATCGTTTTTCAACTTCTTCAGCTACAAAATATAATAATTTTACATTATATTTTGATATTATAAATTGTTCAACATTATAAATTGTCTTCCCAGATGACATGTATGTCTTAAAGACATCAGAAACCTAACACAAAATAACAGTAAGATAACAGTACTGTTATACATTATATTATTTTATATTTGTTGAGAAGACGTCTTTAAAATATACATGTTATCAGGATTTCTGTTATACATAATAATTAAAAAAACTTACCTGACATATTTACTGTATATAAAGTTTTCAAAGTTTCGGAAATATTTTTCCACACATCCTTTTTTTTCCTAATATTTTTGAAATCTATATTACATTTGTCATATAAACAATAATTTTCGCGCACAAAATCAATAATTATTTCATCTAAACTTGTACATTCCATGATGAAAATAAGATTATACTGTATACTACAATAGTCGTACAGTCGGAAGTCGGATGTCGGAAAAGATGAGAGTTGACCAACTCTCGTTACGATAGCGACAACCGACTCCCGACAGCTTTATGCGACAGCCGACAACCGAGTGCGCATGCGTCCGACATCCGACTCCGACATACGACGTATTGTAGAACAGGCATTAAGCAGTACGACGTAAGCAGTAAGCAAATTGACCAATCACAGTCGTTAATTTTTTTTACGGTTCAAGAATCAACGACTGTGATTGGCTGATTCGCTTACTGCTTACGTCTTACTGCTTAAGTTTTTCTATGCGTCACCAGCGTTATGTGACAACCTTATGTGAGACGTAAGTTGAACGTAACGTTTTCGTGCGTTGCTGTACTTACGTCTCACGTAACGTAAGGTTATCATGTAAAATGGCGTGAGGAACTACGGCAATTTTCGTGCGCTGGCCCTTACGATTCATACGTATATGGCTATGGTAGTGTGTGTGAAAGGGGTGAGACCCGATTGACCACAATACGATTGGACATAGATTGTAATGATTGGTTCGACCTAGTAATTCACAAGATAATTCTTTTTTTCGGTTGGTTGTGTCCAATCGTACTGTAGTCAATCGGGACGCTTCCGTGTGAAGGACATATAGGGTGCGTTCGTTTTGGACGCTCACATACTTAAAGTGCTCACGCTTATGAGCGCTATTTTTGCCCGGTTACTTTGATTTCTAAACGCACTCATCAAAAAGATCAAAACCGTTTCCTTTGGCTGTTGTAAGCAATTGTGAACGTAAAAATGGAGGATAAAGATAAGGAAATTGTTTGTGTATTTGCTCAAATATTAGTTTCATTAGATGTTTTTGATGATAACGAAACAAATAACTTATATAAAGAAGAATTAGAAAAGTATTTATCCGTAATGATTGAATCAATAAAAAAAAAGCAATACCTTGGTTAAAAAACTATGTGGAAGTAATTGTACCATTATACAATGATGAAGTATTTAAGTCACATTTTAATAACTTTTCACTTTATAACTTTTGTTTTATTTAAGATCAACGATTTTAACTTTCATATAATATTCATGTTTTATACAACAAAATATGAAGATTTAGATAAATTTGTGAGAAAGTCCGTTTCCTTCATCAAATGTATTACTAATGTTGCTGAAATATTACTTATTTTTTTTAAATTACTGTTGGACAATGCTTTATTACTCAAAATAAATATGATTTAATAACAAAAATAATAAATTTTTATGAGAGGTGTCCTAAACTTACCTGTTTCTACACGTTTTGCCTCATTTGATGTAACAACAAGTGTATACATTTTATTATTTGTAACATCTTGCAGAGTTACTCTGGTTTTGTTATTCTCGTTGGAAGTCATTTTGAAACACTATTTCATTTTAAGGTTTATATTGGAGGTTAGATTGCGTCGATTTCATCGACGCAATCTAACTTATCGTTCTCTTTGGAAAATAAACGCTTATAAGTGCTCACGTTTTTACTGCCCTCCCTCGATAGAAGAAGTGAATGTAAGCGCGAGTTATGATGTCACGCATGACGTCAACATGCAGTTTCTAAGCGCTTATAGCGCCAAAGTAAACGACGTGAGCGATATTTATAAGCGCTTAAAGCGCGTAAGCGTTCAAGCGAACGCACCCATAGGATGTTTCCGATAATACCTCTCCGAGTTATTTCCCTAAAGCAGAAATAAGTTACAGACACCACTATCTATTACTATTATGTGATTCATGACAACCTAAAGCTACCTAAGGGCTATCGCACACAAATTGACATAACTGCATATGCATAGCATAAGACCGTATGTACCAATGAGCATCGAGTATTAAGTCGCCATATTGGTGTTCGATGCTTAATATTCGATGCTCATTGGTCCATACGATTTTATGCTATGCATATGCAGTTATGTCAATTTGTGTGCGATAGCCCTAATGCTGTCACACGTTTGCAAGCAGTGGGTTAGGCAGAACAATACCGTGATAAATATACGAGATAATAATTTTGTAAAATTGTATTATTGATTATAAAATTATCTAGTGTTGTTTTCTAATAAAATTTTATTTATTCTTAATTAAAGTTATATAACCATTAAAATATATATTATATTTTTCAAATATTATTCTAAAGTAAAAAGTCGCACTGTTTTAACCTATTTGCAAGTATTGTTTTTACATGACTCGTGCAGGTACAAGTCCACAATAAATTATGCCATTAGGGAATATTGATAACAAGATAGATTTGTTTGCATAGTTTGTTTTAAATTGTATGTAATTCTACAAATGTTTCTTAATGTTACTATTTTTTAACATTATTTGAGTTATTTCTTTTATACTTTAATACTCATTACAATTAAATATTTTTAGATAAAAAATGGATGTATTAGATATTGTGAGAAATATTTTTTGATTACCTATCTGATGAAGATGATAAGGATAACTTCCAACCTCCACGGGAACATCATATAAAGATCCCATATTTTTTTGAAAATATTATCGTAGCATATTCATTGGCTGCATTCAGTAGACTCAATAGTTGCACAACAGTTGAGTAATTTGTCAATGTAATTGGTCTAGATTTAGGGATCTAATAGCAAGAACCAATAATCGTTGATTGCTCACTGAGCGCTTTTTCTACTGAATGCGCCCATTGACAGGTAAAAGGATTTGAAATTTTGTACTATACCCAATGAAAAATTTTTCATATATAATTATATAAAATTATATAAAATTATATATAATTATATATAATTATATATTATTATGTATCAAATTTGTCCATTCATGTTCATACATTCTACTTATATATATAATTATATATAATTATATATAATTATATATAATTATATATAATTATGTATAATTATATATATAAATTCATATATAATTTTACATAGTTACGCATAAATTTATATGTAATTATACATATTGTTATACATAATTGTGTATAATTATATATAATTTTATATGATTATATATAATTATACATAATTATGTATGGACAAATTTCATACAAAATTTTGCATGAAAAATTTTTCATCGGGTAATAATTTATTGTTTTAAGTTGCGACGCAACTTGCGAAATTATCTCGCGAGTGACGGCAGACAGTCGCCTGTCAGCCGCGTCGTCAATTTGCCGTCGGCTCCGAAGCACGCCACTAAAACGTAAGCGGTAGTTGGGCGCCAGGTGCGGAAAGGCCGCACCACCTCGGAAAACGCGAGATGCGATGCGTTACGCAAAATTCACGTGTCCCGGAACCATCGGGGCCGGTTGCTCTCAGGATTTTAAAGTCAGAGACGGGATGGGTTCAGGAAAGGCGACAATGGTTCTACTCGTTTTCGAGAGTACTTAGTTTATTCGTGGGACTCTCGCACGTCCCGGTACGAAGCGCGATAAAGTTCACCAAGCGAGTCGGTAGTCGCGATATGATAAGGAGTTCGTTACAATGAAAAACCCGAGGACGATCTCCGTGGACGAGACAACGGTACGTGCGCGATAATGACACGGACTACGACGATCGGACAAAATATGAGGCAGATGTGTGGTCTTACAAAAGTCGGTGGCGGCTCGTGGGTCAGCGGCGGTGGTGTCGATGGTCGTCCTTTCTTGCTCTCTCTCTCGCCCCCTCTCTTGCTTACTCCTCTCGCTCGCCCGCTCCACACTCTCAATCCGCTCTCCCTCCCTCTCTCTCTCTCTCTCTCTCTCTCTCTCTCTCTCT